GAAGAGCTGCACAGATGGCATTTGCATTTTAATCACAGCTACGTCAGTAAATTAAGATAATATGAGCAGGAAATCTTTCCATTGCATTAATGTTAAGGTAAATAGTAGCCTTTTTTTCTGTGAGCTGTGACGATGGTATGGGACGCAGGCCACATCATCAGTAACATGGAGGTAAAGGGGCCTGAGTCTGTTCCAGCCCACTGCGCCGCTCCACAGGATAAAGTAGGTACAAAGTGGGTATGACTAATGCATAGATGAATGGCACAACAATGGGAAAATCCTTAGAGTTACCATGTTACACAAATGATGTGGCTGATGTTGCTATTAGCTTTGATCATATGACCGCAGGCCAGAGCTACGTGGAAACTGTAATGCTGAGTGATGCGCTTGCATGAAAATACGATACCGTGTATACCATAGTGACTTCTGCAGGAGTCTTTTTCTTATTTTGTTTGTTGATACCCATTGATCTGGGGTTACATTATGCAACCAACGTCGCTTCGCTTTTGTTGGGTCAGCAAAACAATCAGCGCAGACCGGGGGGCTTCAGAGACAGGAGCTGAAGCTGTGAAACAGTAAAACGAAGCTATTAATTTCAGGATTAAAAAGGGTCTTGGAAATCTATTACACGAAATGTACAATAAGAAAGGTGGAGGCAGATTTCCCAGCTATATTACTTTCACTGACTAATCTGAGGTAACAGCTGCACACACTCAGAGCTCCCTTCTGTGTTGTTATTGTTCTAAAGAGTGACAGCAGCAAAAGATTCAAGGAACACAAGTAGAGAGATTTTAGAGAAGTCAAAGTAACTACACTGTCTTAACCTAAACCGAGTTAAGTTAGAAATTAATATAACATCTTTTAGAGCATGCTTTTAAATATAATATTAGCCAAAGATATAGTTGCTAAATAAAATCCATCAGTAGACATGATTTGGAGGAGCACGCTGGCTTCTACTGAGCGGAGTTTTTGTGGGAAATGTAGCTTTACACTTCACTGTCAGACAGTGCTAGGAGATCATTTGTTTGTTTCATTGTCCAACAAATATATTTAACAGTTTGCTTACTTTAACATAGTTGAGCACAGAGTCTGTACTGAAGTAGGTTGCATCCTGACTGTCAAACTGGAAATATATCAGCAATGATGGGAATAAATCTTAATATCCTGTGGTAATGGTTTCTTGATCCTATTTTACTGCAGCCTATTAACTACATGCTCCCTTAAAATAATGTTACCCGTGTATTTTAAACAGATCCTTTCTCATGTTAACTACTGTAGGTTTGACTGGCCTACCATTAAAACCAAAAGTTATAAAATCTTTCCAGCTGTTTCCAGCAAGAGAATGCTGAAGACTGGACAGGAGGAGGGAGGAGGGAAATGGAAAAGGTGAATAGAGAAGGCAGGAGAGACAGAACGACATAACTAAAGAAGGGAGAAATGAGAACATGAGAGAAGGAGGGCGATAAAGACATTAATGTTGGGGAGAAAGATGAACATCAAATTAAAACAGAAAGAGACCAGGAAGTGATTAAGAGACATACAAAGAGCAGAAGACAGATGATCCTGCTGCAGGACCTGCTGGCATGTTTCTATCATCTGACTCACCAAATGTGTAAATATACCAAATCTGGTATGAGCCTGCCATTAGTCACACATTTCACAAGGCTTTCTCCTCCCCCTTTACTGTCTATGTGTTTGTGATTTCAAAATCCCCGTCCCTATAGAAAATCAAAACAAGAGCCTCCAGACGAGCAACCTAAGGTTCATTCTTGGATGCAGTTGGGTGTTCCAACAAGACAATGATCCCCAAATATACATCAAAAGTGGCAAAGAAATGGCTAAACTAGGCTATAATTCGGGTTTTAGACAGGCCTTATCAAAGTCCTGATTTTAAACCACATTGTGAATTTGTGTACTGTGCTGAACAAACATATCTGTGTGAAAAAGCCAACAAATTTAGTTGTACTGAGCCAATTCTGTCTAGAGGGGTGGTCAAAGATACAGCCAGAAGCTTATGGATGGATACCAAAAGTGCCTAGTTGAGGTGAAAATGGCTAAACGACAGTTAACCAAATATTACAATTGTTGTATCTATATGTTTGACCCAGTAGATTGTGTAGTATTTTCAGAAGACGTGTGATAAATGAGACGTGTGATAAATGATTCATCATGTTGGAGTTAAAAGAACCTCAAGACTGCCATAATACACATGGTCTTTACAAGTGTAACTTTTGTTCATGACTAAAGATCTTCTCTGTTGCTGGGTTGAAGATACAATTTACAATTTGTCTTGGCTTCTTTACAGAAACATCAATACTTGAAAAATTGTTTACTATCCTGGTTGTTTTGTGGTCTAACATAATTGTTTTTTATCGGCCAAGCAAGTGAACGCATACAAAGAATTTGACTCTGATTTCTGTCAAAGAAGTTCTACAGTTCAAAGTCTTTTCTACGTATAACAGTCTGAACAGACATGGATGTGAACTGCATCTTGACTAACTGATGGAGGCATACAGCCATTAGGTTGTAATTCTAGGGAGCATTTGATAGCTTTTTAAAAAAATTGTTTATCTTAGGTCAAATGTTTTGGATAGTGTTCCAAAAATTCTCGCAATAAGCCAATTTCTGATAGAACTAGTGTAATTCAGACAGGTTTGAAGGTCTCCTTGTTCCCACACTGTGGATATACTTCTTTACCTGTTTCCTCCTGAATCTTTTTGCAAAGTTCTTTGTTGTTGATCTCAGAATGATTCCCACCAAAGTAAAGTCTTGATCACAACCGGACGCACGACTTTTGGGATCATACGTACACTGTGGATTTTGGGTGCCGTGGAGGCCCTGGAGGTCGTAGAGGTAGAGGAAAGGTTGCAAGAGCTCCGTCAGAAAGGTGCAAGTCTGCCTTGCGAGCCGCAGGGGTGACGTGAGATGTCCGTTCAAGCATGGATGCTAATTGCAAAGTGCGATTGCCGTGGAAATTGTACTCACTTCTAGAGTTTGTCTTGCCACCTGCGTACGTGGCACGCATTCTCCACTTGCAAAGAGAATTGAACGCACGGCGAAAGTAAGTCACACTTGCCTCACGCGCTCGTGATGACGTCCTGATGGCGTACATCGGTTTGGCGTGATTTTCAAAAAACAAAACAAAACAAAAACAAAAAAACAAAACAGACACTTCGGCAATCAGGTGATATGTTGTCTTGTAAATTCTGTTAACATACTGACAGGGTGTGAACTTAGGGACGTCCTGTCATCCCGGGGTGATAAAAAACAGATCTGGGACAGTACAGATTGATTTCAGGACAAAGACAAAAGTTAAAACTTTATAACAAATGGTGATCAAAGCAAATATGATTTCATGTTTTGTGTAGCACACACAGATCCTGACAACTTGGCAGTGACGGCTCGCCTGCAGTGTCACTGTCACCCCGGTACTGACTTCCAGCTGATACCGGCCAGCAGCATCTCCAGTGAGCCGACCCGATCCTCCAACGGAGACACGTACTAGCTGCTAACACATATTTTATTATACATATCTTTTTACCCATATTCCTTGACAAACATTGACGTTATGTCCCAATATAGTGTGAGATTTGTGCATCAGCGATAAAGCCAACAGTTGCGCTGTGTGTGTGTGTGTGTGTGTGTGTGTGAGTAGGTGTGTGTGTGTGTGTGTGTGTGTGTGTCTCCAGCTCCTGTCAGTCTGCTCAGCTTGTCTGGCTGGACAGTCAGAACCTTAACTAAATAACTAAGTGATAACAGGAGGTTCAGAAACAGTGAAGTCAAAGCAGAAGTGACTCTAGTCTCTGATCTTTTCACATGGATTTGTAGAAAATCATGCCGCTGCTTCAGACATTAAAATGAACTCTTGTTTGCAAAGGTAGATTTACTTAAAGCAATACAAAGCTGATTATAATATGGTATATCCATTATTTGTTTGAAGCAATAATGTAATCGATGATCACTGTTGAGATGTGAGCGTGCAGCGTGAGCACGCCTTTATACTCCTGGCTTGGGGTGATGCACGCCCGCTTGCTGTGCGTTCAATTTTGTTCATGAGTTGTGAGTACTTGCGCCATACTTAGCACACAAGGGGCACTTGCTCCTTCATTGCGTGGGACATGCGTCTTAGACCACGGATTTTCTTCCCACACTACCTTAAAAATTGCACGACTCACTTGCAAACTCCTTGCGGGGCCAGCAAGTTACAAAATGTTTTGACATGTCAAAAAATCCAAAGTGCTTACGGGCTGTCTGTGACAGCGAAATTTTACTAGATGGACTTGGGTGGCACGTGCCATTCTGCACAGAATTTGGACGCAGACAGGCCGTAGGAGCTCGTATGGCTGGTTGTGACCGAGGCTTATGTTAGTTTCTAGGAAACAGAATACGTCTCCTTCCTGAGCAGTATCATGGCTACATGGTCCCATGCATCCTTTCATATTGCTGTTAAGTACAGATGAACGTGGTACCTTCAAATGGCAGGTGCCAAGAATAAACAAGACTTTTGAGGACTTGGCTTATTTTTGGCACGTTTTAAACTCTAGACACCTCAGTCAATTAGGAAAATATTTATTATTTGAAATACAATAAGTAACTAAGAACCTGTGGTGAAACAAGTTCAGAAGGCAGTCATGAGGTAGCCATTATGAAACTCCCAGAAATGCAGGACCACACATGGGATAGTGGTCAGTAGTGCAGAGAGGGGCTGGGGTTTATCTAGTCCTGCCTACACACACACACACACACACACACACACACACACACACACACACACACACACAGACACTCCTATATGCAGCTTAATATATAATGCTCTGAGGTGATTCAAACTGTCAGTGGTTAGTTTGTGGTGGAGCAGAGGTATGTATTGACTGATTGGACCTCAGGGGAATCCTGGTGGATAAACATGCATGGTGGTATGTATACATGAAACTGATGCACACAGAACGGTGTTCTCCATGTCTGATGATGCTGTCTTCTTTCTCTTTCTGTGGTTTCAGTTATTCAGTGACAGTGCAGGAGTCGTACGCCCATCCTTTTGATCAGATTTACTACACCAGCTGCACGGACATCCTCAACTGGTTCAAATGCACCAGACACAGGTGAGGACCGCACCACTGAGGCCTCATAAGGACGAAATGTATGGAGAAAGTGGTGGTTTGATATAGGACCACACCATTGTTTTTGCATGTTTTAGTCAGTGCTGTCCCAGTATAAGTGGTTGTACCACCCATGTTCCAAACCATACCATTTTCATCACTTCCCAGACTTGAAATTTGCTTGAGCCAGTTAATCTATCACACTGAAGATCTTGTATTGTAAAGATCTTTTATTTTTTTGAAGTTCAGTTACTGTGACATGCTGATGCTGTACAGACAGATCACTCTCTACAAGCAACTACATGAAAAAAATAAAAGCAAACTCTTTTTTTCCAACTTTAACCTTCAACTTAGAACAGCCGTTGGACAAAAATTCTTTTTATATGGTTAACTTCATATTTCTGTAGTTTTCAAGCCGCACATTTTATACATAGTTTATAATTTAGCAATGACAGATACTAGCAGCTCCAGTGTGAAAGTAGTTGAAGGTCAGCATTGCATGTTGAAATGAGAACATCAACTCAAGTTTGTTGACAAGAGACACAATGCCAGATATTCATTCAAGTTGTTCTATGAATTCAAATGCAGTTAAATTAGAAAGAAGAATTCTTTATGCCGGCATGATCGGCAATGGAAAATTTTATCTAGAACCACAAAGCAATGCATATTACCACACCATCATCAGTTTTGCCAATGACAGCTTATAAGACAACAAGCCCTTGGGCACAGACATGATGAAACCCTCCACCCTTCATACATGCATACAGAAAGTGATTCAAGACAGCGTTACACAATATTAGATCATTAATGCTCACTTGCTGTCTGGATGCAGGGTGAGTTATCGGACAGCATATCGTAGAGGAGAAAAGACCATGTACCGCAGAAAGTCCCAGTGTTGTCCAGGCTTCTTCGAGAGTGGAGAGATCTGTGCTCGTAAGTATCTTCACGCACACACACACGCACACACGCTGAGTAAACAGAAAAACATGGTTCAACTGAAAAACTGTCACTAGTCGGAAAAACAACACCGTGTCGTCACTGCAACAGTCTCACTTGCCAGCCAGCTGCTGGTCCCCGACATCTTTCTCTGTCAGTAGCCATCAGGCAGTGACAGGTGTGGAGCCACAGTAGCCATTCACAAGAACAACTGTTGGTCAGCAGAGACAGTAAAAGAAGGCATTATGTTAACACAGCTCGCTGTAAATGGTGGACGTAGATGGTGATAGAGAATGCACAATATCTGCGTGCTTTGGCTAAGATGGAGACCAGAGTTAATGTGCCCCAGGAGTTCAGAGGGGAATTTGTTGTGATGTGAAAAAGCTCTGTTGTGTAAGCAGCCATCACATGCTCCTCCAAGAATCGCTGAACTCCTCGATAGAACACTGCAGGAAGCACGATTTGCCAGACACTCCAGGCAACATGGCATTTCAACATAGTAGTCAGATAGGAAAGGAAATCAAATTGATTAAGGTTAAATTTAATGCTTGCTGTTTATGTGGATTTAATCTCTGATGATGAAAGAGGGAGCAACTTCTTCTTCCTTGCCAGTGTGTTATTGTCGCTCCTTGTTAGTGTAAGTTAAAAAAGAAAATGTGTCAAAAAACGTTAAAGTTGAAGCTGTACAAATACCGTTTGTGTAGTAATGTTGGAGGCTCACGGTGTCATGGTTACCAGAATAAGGTGACCATGTCAGTAGTTGACCTGTTTCCCTCCCTACCTTGAGTGTCCTGAGTGTTTTCTGGCACCGTCAGATCTTTACGCCCCTCAACTTTCCTGCTGCCAATAAATTAACTTCAAGAACTGCCTAATATATCTGACACCTTGAGACGAAGCACTGCTACTGACTTCACCTATGATGGGAACTGTGACTGATCAGTCGATGAGTGCTTGTCTCGGAAGTTATACCACCAAGTTGTAAATGGTCTGCACTTTTCTTCTCCTTAGTTGTTCTTAAAGCGCTTCACACAAACATTCAACCACCAATGACATGAGGAGTAACTTTGAGTTCACTTTCTTGAGAGCAACTTCTTATTTACAATGACAGCCTTGCAAGTGCCAGAAGATACTTTTAGGGGAAAAGGAGGAGTTACAAGGGAACTTGAGCAACATACTTTCAGTTCTAACCTTTTTTTTGTGCCTAAATTAAGGCATTCAAATATGAAGTCAAGTCAGTTTGTCAGACTTAAAAGTTTTAAGTAAGCTCTGTCTCACAACAGTCCAGATAGAGTGGCAAGTTCCAATTTTCATGTCAAAGGTCAGATTCATGTCTTTTTTCTACAGCTCTGTTAAAGGAAAAGTAGAAATTAACCCTTGGATTTATTTAGCCCTACATGACTAATTCTAATGTAGATATGTTTACTGTTGTTTTATGGTCTTCCTGTCTCCTTCATGTACAGCTCATTGTGAAGAGAGCTGTGTTCATGGCCGTTGTATGGCACCCAACACCTGCCAGTGTGAGCCAGGCTGGGGAGGTTCCAACTGCTCCAGTGGTAAGTCTTTCAGCTGCTGCTGTCTGTAACCAAACCATGTCTTTGTGTGTGTGGCTGGTTTTCTGTGAAAGCACTTAGAACTCACAAGAGGAAAAACAGACTGGTATCATCTTACTGACTGCTACGCTGCACCACACCACAAAAACAAAACACTCTGGCTGGATTTTCTTTCACACATATTTCTCCTCAAGTGGAGTACTTAAGTGCAAAACTTACTCATAGTTTACCTACTATTTCAGTTCCAGGTCAGTCCATAAAAAATGAGCCAAATCTGAGAAACGTTCCCATCCGATCCCCTCAGAATAAGCAGATTTGTTTTTTGTACAATAAATTTATTATGTTTGATTAAGCTCGTACTATGAATGCTTTCCAAGTGACAGGCCTTTGAAGTATAAAGCGGTGAGTCAAAATTTCTTCACAACCTTATATGTAAAATAGATTGACACATAAACACATGACATTTCAAGGGATCAAGGAGATATTTGAGCTCTTTTAAAAACGGAAACCTCTTTAGGTGTCATAATCTCAAGCCAAAATAAAATTTTTGTTCAGCACAGTTTTTTCTATAACCAATTTTGGGCTATCATTATAGTGGGATTAGTCATAATTTCATCAGCAAAACTGAATCAGTTTAATGTCTATGACATAGAGGCATAGAGGCAATCATTGGTACCCTGGATGTGTTATATTTTCTGATGATTCACCAGAGAAAACTTCAAAAAGTCCATTTTCTATGAATTTCAAAGGTCATGTCTCCATGTGGGATAGGTGGTTGGTTGAAACAAGTTGTAGCATAAATCTCATTTTAATCAACATTTTGATGCCAGGTTCATCTTCCAGACATGATTTCTGCTGTGTCAAAATATTATCTGGATTTTCTGATTTTGAAGGGATAAGGTTGGAGGAAATGTTTATTGTACTCTTTCTTGATGAGACAATACTGATATCTACCTCATGTGTAGAATATTTGCCATTTTGCTCAGATTTCTTTATTTGTTTATTTATTTTTTTACATGTATTTGACTAAACACATGGTATGTAATGTAAATTAGTTAGTCTTCAAGGTACAAGCTGGAATCATTTTCAAATCTGTTTCTTTGTTTCTATAAAAGAAGGAGGCAAGCAGGATTTTAAAGGCAGGTCATTGTGTTTGTTTTCATAGACCTTAGTCTACCAACACCAGCTCTCATTGTGCGCTTCTTCCACTGTGGTCTGTGCTCAACAGACACACACTACTGGTAGATATTATGTTTCAATTAAATTAGGCTGCTCAGACGCTCATTTACGGTTCTGTCTCTCATTCACACAACACCACGATCCATGATCTACACATGCAGTGTCTGCTGCCATCACCCACCTGCTGCCATCAGTAAGCTGCAAGTAGCTCCTTCATTTCCTTTGCTGCATTGCTTTAAAGAAAAACAGTCACTCAACACCAGATTTGCCAGTTCGTGACTTTTCTTTGTCCTTTCTGTGAAAGGAACGTGTACTTGTAGAAAGACTTTTGGATTTACTGTACTTAATTTTATTACTTGTGTTATTATTTAACCTCATGAAGCTAACTTCATTACTTGAAGTATGTTTTACCCAAGATATCAACGGCCATCGCAGGGACCAGACCTTTTAAGGTGTATTTTTCCGCACGGTTATTGGCAGAAAACGTTTCTTGGCATGTGGCCTGTTAATAATGGAGTTTTCAGAGGTATTTCTTGTCTTTGGTGTGGTTTTAATTTTAGAGACCACATTGAACGGACTGATGCAAAAGCAACTAGCACGTCAGTTCTGTTAAAGGGGCTCAGAATTATAAAAAACATTGTTATCAACAACATCTCCTGTTATTTATGCACGTATATTTTTTTTCAATTTCCTTTGACTGTATGTGACTGTATTTGTCAAATATCCCATGAAAAAGTGTTACTACATTCGTAATGTGACGTATTGCTTGTTGAAACAGGATTTTGAGAGGAAACAGTGAGAAATTAATGATGAGAAGTCTGAAGAACACAACTTTAGAACCTTTAAGTAGCCATCTGCAGTTCTAGAGGTTTTTCTTCTGTTCAGACAGTGTTAGGTAAGTGGTAACAACAAAATTAGCATTTGGTTCCTCACTTCAGTTGATGTCAGAGTCAAAGTCAAAGTCAAAGTCCCCAACACCAAGGCTATATTCTGTTTTGCTTGTCCCTGAAGCTTGCCCTGAATGACATAAATAAGTGCTCAGCAGTTCAAATCTTTCACTTTAAGATTCTGATAGATTCAGTGAATATATCTGTATTTTGATCTAATTTGCAGTAATGAAGAATTCTGGACAATTCATGTTCAGGGTCAGCTTTCTATACCAATGTAGGAAGTAGATTGTATTTTATGAAAAGAAGGGGATTGTAAATGGGAAGTTGTACTAGTGGGTAATTGTGTAGCTCATCTTATGTGCAAATAAACCAGCGTTCACAAACTGTCCAAGACTAGAGTGAACAATGTTTTTTTTAATAAGTTAAAACTACAGTATTTTCATTGCAGAACTGCAGTTATAGTTCACAAAAACAGTAGAACACAAGAATTTATTAACATGGCATTTGAAATGTACAATGTCAGCAACAGTCTAGATACAGAGTGGCTTCTCTCCCATAGCTGCTGTTGCTGAGCCTTACAAGTGTTCTCAAGACTGATTAATTTAGCTGATGATGTCAAACACAATAATGCTACATCCATTTTAGTCTCAGTCGTGTCAGGAGGCATTTTCTTTTTAGCCATTTACCACTTGGTTGAAAGCCTGTGTCTTTTCTCTGTCTTTGCCTTTGTGGATCCCCAAATGTTATGGTAGTAAAATAGCAATTCCTATTAGTTATTTCCAAAGTGGAGAAGATGTACCAACAGGGACCAGTATTTCATTTACATCAACATTCTTCTACTTGTGTGTTGTTGCTTCACACCATATTTAAGGCTGATAAAATGGTCAGAGTGTGCGTATGAGCTCTGTCTGTTTGTATTTTGTGAAGCTTCTTTGATGTGTTTTAAATGGTTTCGACGCAAAATTCTGAAAGTTCAGTCTTTGTTTCTTGTACATTCAGTTTCACTTTATCAGTTTACACTTCAAAGGTTCCAGAGAGAAGATGTCTTCAGGCTTCAGTGTGTGTCTGTAGATATTCACCAGGAAAAGCCCTTGTTTTTAGGTTTTACAGTTTTATCTGATGAAGATCTAAGGACTGAATTGTTACATTTCCAAGAAGGTTTAATGCAAGTAAAAGAACAGTGTGCAGAAATTCTCTCTTCTCTTATCTGTGAATATTTCCTCCTACAGACCAATCTACACAAAACTGTAGATGTGCATTAACCTTCACAGTCAAGTGCTGCATGTTTTCCACAGTGGAAGCCTGAACTGTTTGTGTTTAGTGCCTTTAAAAACTACCGGTTAAAACACAAGCTAGTTTGTTCACAGCAAACTTGCATATAGTGTCCACTCAGTGTCTGTGGAAGCTTATGTCTGTTTCTTCCTATGAGCCTGTGAATGTATCTCCATGCAGGCCTATATGCTGATAAGCATTAGGAGTCCACAGGGTGTGCCCTGCTGTCTTTAGTTTCAGCCCGTAATAAAGGAGGTTATTGTTGTGTCTGGGTCCAAGGGCTCTACAGGGTCTCACTCTCACACGCAGCACTCATCTATAAAAACAAGTTTTGCTTTTAAATAGGAGCAAATTGAAAGTTTGAATGACTTGAACATGTGATCCTTAGCCATGGAAAGAAAAGTGTCAAAGTGTATGAAAGTTTCTGACGTCCATATTAAGCAGTGGTGTTGGTACCATCATGCATACTGTACAAAAATAGAGAAATGAATGAAGCATTATAGGATGGGCTTAATACAGGAATTAGAGAAGTGAGGAAGTGAGGAAGTTGAAAGATGTGTTTAAAATGACTATATTGAAGTAATGTGCTGGGTTATGTGCTGGTCGGCATAATCCAGTTAAGGCAATGGAGCTCACTTGTGAACAAGAGCCCAAGATAGACTCCCTTGATTGGGGAAGCCCCCCCCCCACAAACTTTTGAGGTCCCCAAACTGGACACCTTCCTTACCCTGGCTGCGCTTTGAGATCCTGTCCATGAATACCACATACAGGATCGGGGACAAGTGGCAGCCCTGTTGGAGTCCAACACCCACTGGGAATGTGTCTGACTTTGTGCCGAGAATGCGGACACAACTCTCACTTTGATTGTACTTTGGCACTTTGCCACCGAGGAACTTACCTACCTCGGCGACCTCTACCATGGATATAGACAAAGAAGCCCCCAAGTCTTCAGGCTCTGCCCCCTCAGCAGAGGATGTGTTTACCGCCATTGGATCCAACTCACCACCTGGTGGTGATCAGTTGACAGCTCTGCTTCTCTCTTCACCTGAGTATTGAGACATATGGCTGCAGGTCTGATGACATGGCTACAAAGTCGATCATGGACCTTTGGCCTAAGGTGCTCTGGTACCAGGTACACTTATGAGCAACCTTATGTTGGAACATGGTGTTTGTTATGGCCAAGCTATGACGAGCACAGAAGTCCAATAACAAAACTCCACTCGGGTTCAGATCAGGCAGGCCGTTCCTCCTAATCACTTCCCTCCAGGTTTCTCTGTCATTGCCCACGTGAGCATTGAAGTCCCCCAGGAGGACTATGGAGTCCCCAGGCAGTACCCCTTCCAGGACACCGCCCAGAGACTCCAAGTAGTGTTCATTGCATACGCACAAACAACAGTCAGAGTTTTCCACTCTGCAACATGCAGTCACAGAGAGGTGACCCTGTTGCTCTCCGGGAAGAACCCCAACAGAACGGCGCTCAGCCGGGGGCTTGTGAGGGCTGTGTCCGACTGAAACCCACGGGACCCCAAGGTTCGGACACAAGACGCTCTCCGGCTCCCTCCCTCCCCAGCCCTGGCTCCATGGGGGAGGCTTTGGTTTCCCTATTCCGGACAAGATGGCAGCTTTCCTCTTTTTGTTGGTCATCAGGGTCTTTGAATCGCT